AGTCCTACAATGGGTAGGACTAGGACTGTATAATGCCGCATAATGTACAACTGTATAATGCTTTATGCAAGCCATTACTATGGATGAGATCAACCTTACTCAATAGAATAGAATCAGATCCATATGTATTTGCAAATGTTAATTTCCAGATACCAAAAGCATTGCAGGAATAAATGATTAATAATGACCTTCAATTGATATATCAGTCTAAATAAATCATTTCTTCAGCTGGTTGTATTTATGAATAACTAATCATATTTTTTAAGAGGGAAGACCTGTGGTGCTTAGCTCTTCCTTTTGGCTCCTGTGGTGCTTAGCACTTCCTCTTGGCTCTGCACTCAGAGATCACCCCTGGTGGGACTAGTGAACCCTATGGGGTACTGGGGATCAAACTCTGGTCAGGCACATGTAAGGAAAGCTCCTACCCATTGTACAGTTGCTCTAGTCCCATAGATAATCATATTTTGTGTCATCTTTATGGCCTCACTAAACTATGAGTTAAGCATTTGTATCTTGCTTTACAGTTTACAAGCTTTTCATATCCACTCAAGATTTCTATTTATTTTTCCTCCTGCCCCTGCAATACTTATATTTACTAAGGGATTTATGGTCTGAGACCTTATTTTCAAATGGACAAATAGAAATCATAGGAGTATATGTCTTGGGGGAAGATCTTTGAAAGCACATATTCTCTCAAATAAAGGAAGAGTCAGAAGTTGGAAATTTAGCCATACATAAAGAAAATGGCAATTTCAGACATTTATCTTAGATCAGGCAATTTTGTGAATGCATTAGCTTTTTTTCCCTTTTGAGGAGTCAAGGTTTTGTTTGAACTTTAAAAATACATGGAAAAAACTCTATTACTTATGTATATTCTTGCCTTTGTGAATATTCTAATCAGATAAGAATTTCAAATTAAATTTTTGCACTCAAAATGGTCCAATTTTATAATAGCTTCTAAAGATGTATAGTTTATTGAATTTGGGATTTTTCAGTTTACTAATAGACTGGTCTATTTTGATCATTGTAGCGGAGCTGTTGAAGTCCTTCACAAAATAAATTTTACTCTTTTGCTGATTGGAGATTTCCAATCTATGATAATCTTTTCATAAGCATTCACATAAACAAGCAATTAAATGCTAAATGTAGGTCCCTTTAAGAATTTAGAGTAGAATTCATCCTAAGCTTGCATTCATAATATTATTATATTTGAGAACATTTTTAACCTCCAATAAGTTGTGCTGACTATTGAAAAAGAGGAAATAATCCTCAATTCTATCTTAGAGAAGAACTGATCAATTCATCTCCTTGATAATATTTTTACCTTCTAAGCAAATGTTTTCTTTCTAAATCTCAAAATAGAAACTGAAAGTGAAAGGAGATAAAATGGTAAAAGCTACTAAATTATGCTCATTGCATTCCATTATGTTAGAAATAAGATGCTAACGGACAGATCATTTACATTGAAATCTTACGTGTACAGGGACCTGAGTGATACGGCACAGTGATAGTGAGTACAGAAGGTAGGGTGCTTACTTTGCACTCAGCCAACCTGGATTTGATTCCTGGCATCCTATTTGGTCCCCCTGAGCACCACCAGGTGTAATTCCTGAGTGCAGAACCAGGTATAAGCCCTGAGCACTGCCAGGTGTGGCCCCAAAACAAAAACAAAAGAAATTTTGCATGGACAGAGACAAATAATAAGTTAATCACCAGCTTTCAAAAATTATTTTATTTAGACAGAATGGCTTACATAGTTGTTTACAATAATTTTCAGGCAAACAACATTCCCACCCCCAATTCGACCATCTTGTATCCCATCCTTAGAGCAGACTCCAGATTCCCTACCATCCTCAACATGATTGACAGGTTTTAATTGTAGTTTGGGTCTGGATATTTAGATCTCTACACTATAGAGGAGTGAGTTCAAGGCCCCATGAACCTTGCCCGTGTTACTTCCAGAACTCCTTTTCTTTTTTTATTTTTAAACCTTACCCCTCCATTTCTCTCCTTCCCTGACAGTTTTGTTTCTTTAATCTGGAGTGTTTTACTACCCCCCGCCCCAGGCATGTTATTCTATATACCAGATTCCATTATTTGTTCTTCTTCCCCTTCTGACTTACTTCGCTTTAATATCTTCCTGTTCTATCCAAATTGCAACAAACTGCCTGATTTAATTATTCAGTGTGACCACAAAGTATTGCATTCTGTCATATATTGTTGCGTTTTCCATAACTTGACTACTGTATTAAGCACTGCAATGATCATAGGTGTGTACATATCTTTTCAAATAAAGTTTTTACATTTTATGGATAAGAAACAGTGGGATCAGGTCATATGGTAGCTCTGTTCTTAGTTGTCTGACAGGCTAGACAGAATTCCCACCAGCAGTGCATGAGTTTTTCCAGTATATTACATCATATCCCCACCATATTTGCCATTCTCACTGGTATGAGGTAATATCATTGTTTTCTCAATTGGATTTCCCTGATAATGTGACAGTGAATACCTTTTCATACGCCTTGTGGCATGACTCCATAAGATTTCTGTCCTTAGTAAGACTTCTGTCTTCTTCACAGTGCCTATCCACTTCTTTTTCACTTATTTTGTAAATGTGGTTATTGAACTTACTGTTGATCTTTTGTTCTATGTATCTTGAATATATCTAACCATCTGTATTGTGTGCAAATATTTTCTCCCAAACTGTATGACATCTTTTAACTTTAGCTTGTTTCTTTCACCATAAAGACACTTTATTTGATGTTTTCTTACTTCTTTGCTTCTGTTGTCTTTGTCATGAAATCATACTCAAAATACCTTTAAGGTACTAATCCTGGGGCATTCTCCTCAGTGTTTTGTGGAATGTAGTCTAATCTTAAAGTCTTTGAGCCACTTTGAATTGATTTTTGTGTAAGGTTTCAGACTATGGATTCAGGTTCCTATTTTTTTTTCCACACAGCTATCCAGTTTTCACAGCACCATTTTTTGAAGACTATCTTTACTCAACTTCATAAACCTGGATCCTTTGTTTTAAATTAGCTGTCCATATATGTAAGTGTTTCTCATTGGGTACTCAATTCTAACCCACTGAGTCTGACTCTATTCTTATCAAGTTTTACGACTATTCCAAGTAGTCAAAGTCATTCTGAGAAGTAAGAAACTGGGAGATATTGGGGCTCCTGATTCCAAACTATACTATAAAAAAATAGCAATCAAAAGAGCATGGTTTAATTTTTTTTAATTTTAAATTTAAAGATCTTGGGAGAGAGCTATCCGTACAGGTTAGATCTCAAACACTGCATATTGTTTGCTAGGCAATGCTATAAGTGCTTCCTGAGTGTAGATCCAGAAATAAGCCCTGAGCAAATCAGGGTGGTATATAATGCCAAAACAAACAAACAAAAAAACAACAAAAAGGAAAATAATAATGAAGATCTTGAATTTATGTCTTCTCCATTTTGTTCCTGGGAATGAACTTCAAATTTAAATGAAAACTTAAAAGGTTTATTTCTCCTCATCTAAAGTACTAGAAAGATAAATATATATTATGCGATGGATTATTTTTTAAGAGTTATATTTACAAATTATTCTGGAATTTTTTCCTTTTACATCCTATTCAGGAATTCACTTTTCCTTCTACCCATATCCAGCATTCAAATACTTGCCATGGAACCAGGACTGGTGGTAGGGAAGAAGGAAAAACAAAAAAACAAAAAAACTCTGTAATCTATTTAAATGGCTAGTCTAGTCATTTACAAGAAACTTGCCAAAACATGTGATTTAAGAGCAATGAATTAAAGGAGTATGTAGAAAACAACCTAGCTATTAAGACTAGTAAGAGACCAAAGAGACCTAAAGCAAAGGGAATAGAGGGATGAGACAGAAAAGAATGCAAAAAGTATGTTCTGTGTCAGTGGAAAAGTTTACGATGTGTTTCAGGTAAATGTTAAGATATTTTAAAATAATGTCTTGATCTGCATTAATGCATTGACTTCTCTGGAAAACTTGGGTGGGTAATATTTTTTTCAGAAGAGGAAAAGAGGTGCAGAGAAATTAAGTTGTTTATATCATACCACATATCTCAGAAACCAAGCCCATTCCATATACCACTTGACAACTATGTGGAAATTAGTTTTAATAGGAAAGAATTAGAAGAATCTTTTTGTATTAGATTTGCAGTTTGTGGTATTCCTATCTACTTGGTAACCTCTAGTCATTTCTAACTCCTCTCCCATTAACTCTTCTGTTCTAAGCAAAACCCAAGCACTGTTAATTGTATTTTTTAATAAAATGGTTTGGGGTGGGGGGTGCTGGTGATAGTACAGTGGAACAATGGGTAGGGAACTGGCCTACCAGTTGACATGGTGTCAATTAAAATTTTAACTCCACCAACCCACAGCTCTATGATGACAGACTTCTGTGTGCCCCATTTTCTGTTTGTACACAAAGAATAGCAGATTGGCCATTTCATAATTTTTAGAATTAAATAATATCAATCATGCATTTATGCTGGGCCCTAGTGGCTAGGAGTTGGTACTCAAAAGTTTACTGCTACTAGAATTTTACAGGGAAGGCTGTTAAAGACCCAGTCATTCTATGTTTTTGTGTCATAACAGGCTGTGGTGTGTAGTAAGCTCAGTGCTTATTACTGGCTCTGCTCAGGGATCACTCCCTAACAGAGCTCAGGAGACATTATAGTGTACTGGGGACCAAACCTGGGTTGGCTGTAAGGCCAGTTCCCTACCCATTGTTCCACTGTACTATCACCAGCAACCCCCACCCCAAACCATTTTATTAAAAAATACAATTAACATGCTTGGGATTTGCTTAGAGCAGAAGAGTTAATGGGAAAGGAGTTAGAAATGACTAAAGGTTACCAAGTAGATAGGAATACCACAAACTGCAAGGAAGATGGCTCTGGAAGAGATGACTTCCTTTCTTGTGGGATATGTTAATAGTATGGACATGTATTGATATGCAGTAAGCTGGAGAACGTAACTATGAATTCAGGTAAGCAGCCTAGGGGAGTCATGAGAAAACAAGTGGTAGTGAAAATAAGTATTAGAACTTTAGGTCAAAGATTACTCTGAAGTTCTGCGGTTGCCTCCACCTAGCCCTCCCGAGAGCCGGCCCCTCCCTCGCCTGTCGCAGTCACCCGGGATACGGATTGCGCCTGCCAGTCAACCCGAAGCTGGTTTCATGGCAGCACCGAAGAAAGCTGTTTTGGGCCCTTTGGTGGGAGCAGTGGACCAAGGCACCAGCTCTACGCGATTTTTGGTTTTCAATTCAAAAACAGCCGAACTGCTTAGTCATCATCAAGTAGAAATAAAACAAGAGTTCCCCAAGGAAGGATGGGTAGAACAAGATCCTAAGGAAATTCTTCAGTCTGTCTACGAATGTATAGAAAAAACGTGCGAGAAACTCAGACAGCTCAATATTGACGTTTCCAACATAAAAGCAATCGGTGTCAGTAACCAGAGGGAAACGACCTTAGTCTGGGACCAAGTGACTGGAGAACCACTCTACAATGCTGTGGTGTGGCTTGATCTAAGAACGCAGTCTACAGTTGAAAGTCTCAGTAAAAGAATTCCAGGAAATAATAACTTTGTCAAGTCCAAGACTGGCCTTCCACTTAGCACTTACTTCAGTGCTGTGAAACTTCGCTGGCTTCTAGACAATGTGGAAACTGTTCAGAAGGCTGTACAGGAAGATAGAGCACTATTTGGGACTGTCGACTCCTGGCTTATTTGGTGTTTGACAGGAGGAGTGAATGGAGGTGTCCACTGCACGGATGTAACAAATGCAAGTAGGACGATGCTTTTCAACATTCACTCTTTGGAATGGGATAAAGAGCTTTGCGAGTTTTTTGGAGTTCCACAGAAAATTCTCCCAAATGTCCGGAGTTCTTCTGAGATTTATGGCCTAATGAGAGCTGGAGCCTTGGAAGGTGTGCCGATATCTGGGTGTTTGGGGGACCAGTCTGCTGCATTGGTGGGACAGATGTGTTTCCACGATGGACAAGCCAAAAACACATATGGAACTGGCTGTTTCTTACTATGTAATACAGGCCGCAAGTGTGTATTTTCTGAACATGGCCTACTAACCACAGTTGCTTACAAACTTGGTAGAGACAAACCAGTATATTATGCGTTGGAGGGGTCTGTCGCCATAGCTGGTGCTGTTGTTCGCTGGTTAAGAGACAACCTTGGGATTATAAATACCTCAGATGAAATTGAAAAACTTGCTAAAGAAGTAGGTACTTCTTATGGCTGCTACTTTGTGCCAGCATTTTCAGGGTTATATGCACCTTATTGGGAGCCCAGTGCAAGAGGGATCATCTGTGGGCTCACTCAATTTACCAATAAGTGCCACATTTCTTTCGCTGCATTAGAAGCTGTTTGTTTCCAAACCCGAGAGATTTTGGATGCCATGAACCGCGACTGTGGAATTCCACTCAGTCATCTGCAGGTAGATGGAGGAATGACCAACAATAAAATTCTTATGCAACTACAAGCAGACATTCTATATATTCCAGTAGTGAAGCCCTCCATGTCTGAAACGACTGCCCTGGGAGCTGCCATGGCGGCGGGTGCTGCCGAAGGGGTCGGTGTGTGGAGCCTTGACCCTGAGGATTTGTCAGCAGTTACGGTGGAACGTTTTGAACCCCAGATCAATGCTGAGGAAAGTGAAATCCGTTATTCTACGTGGAAGAAAGCTGTGATGAAATCAATGGGTTGGTGTACAACTCAGACTCCAGCAACTGGTAACCCTAGTATCTTCTGTAGTCTGCCCCTGGGCTTTTTTATAGTGAGTAGCATGATAATGTTAATCGGAGCAAGGTACATCTCAGGTACCCGGTTAATAGTACCAGTTCATCGATTACAAAGATTGGAGCTTTTTATGTAATCGGAGAATCAGCAATTCTATTTCTGTATGTGAGAACACTATACATAGACTCTGATTTTATTTTTAAGCCACATGCTGCATGATCTATCTTTCAAAGAGACTTGTGGCTTGAAATAAAATGCAGCAGAACGAATAATACAACAACATTTGCTGTGTTTTTTAGCATTAAGCTAAGATTGGACCAGCCATTTTGAGGGTGACCCCTCCTTCTCATAATTTTGGTCCCATTTTCTCTAAGGAAGAATTTGTATCCTGTCCCATTAATCTTTTGTCTGTTAATCACAGAAGGATCAGGATTTGATTCTCCACACTACACGTAGTTAAAAGCCACTTTTGTTTCTTTTTTTAAGAGACCCTGAAAGCTCTCTTTTTAGCCTATTCAATACAACACAGTTTATGCACTAAATTTTTAAGTGAAAATTTAGAACCCACACAAAGTATTTATTTTTTTGAAAAGCCTTTGCCAAAACTGAAATTATTGAGATATTTTACTGTACAATCTTGCTAGTTATACTGAATTGCTGTCTATATCTTATGTGATACATGCTTTTCCTTTTATTTCTATCTTTTTGTATTTTTCACTTTATCTTTTTTCATATGTGTCTGTACAATTTATAGACAATGTAGTCATTTATAAATTGAGTGCAGTTTACAAGGTAAAAAGGTAAAGGTAAAGGCCCTCCCTTTGATCGTAGATTTGCTTGAGCGGGCCCAGTAAGGTCTCCATTGGAGACTTTGTTGTTACTGTGTCTGGCATATCGAATACTCTCGGTAGCTTGCTGGGCTCTCCGAGAGGGGCGGAGGAATCGAACTCGGGTCGCTTGTAAGGCGAACGCCCTACCCGCTTGTGCTATCGCTCCAGCTCACTAATTACAATCAATTGTTTGGGTCTCACAGTGACTTTTTTTTCTTTTCATTTAACCTTTTAATAGTCCTTACATTGTATAACATGCACATATTTTGTACCGGAGTATCCGATTTATAAATCAAGAAAATACTATTTTCAGCTGGTTATATTGAGGCTGGTCTTAAATACACAACTTTGTGCATACATTATTTTTGGGGAGGAACCACTGTACATTTTTTTTTTGGTAATGCTTATCCAGATTATTTACCATGAACAACTTTAAAGAGACGATATTTAAATTTTAGCTAAATGTTCTATGTCAGTAAGAGAAAATGTACTTTATGTCTTCAACTATATTTGTTATACCTTAGCTTTTCTTTTGTTTTAGCTTAATAGACACCCTAAAAATCTGGAAGGAACACTACAGTATATGTTGATTTGAAACACAATCACTGTCCTGTGTACATACTTTTGGATATCTGTGTGATCCTTGTGAGGGGATATCAAAAGAGTTAAAATCCTAAATTGAGAAAAATTTAAGAGTGCTCTTTTCAAATATGGCTATTGCTGATATGCAATTATAAAACCTGTTTGAGAAGACAGGAAATTATCTATGCTTAATGATAATCACAACTAAAAATTATTTTTCCTTTAGAATGTCTTAATGAAACTACTTATTTTCGAGATTTAGTATGACACTGTAAAGATAAGCTACTATATCTTCTTGATGTCATTATAAATATTTAAAACTTCCTGTTTGTTATGAATAATGTTATAAGGATTTGTTGCTTCCTAGCTATTTTCTTCCATGCTGAAAATGGGAACATGTATAAGGGGATTAATTTTGTTTGAAATTAGTGGTCACCTCTAAATTGAATTTGCTGAGTTTTATTGATGCAGTTGCTACTTTAATAGAATGCAGTTGCTACAGTATAGAATGGTTCTGTGGAATTACTACTTTTTGGGAAGGGGACATTATTTCTAGAAATATTGTTTCTGTGATGATTGGGTGAATTGTAAATAATTGTGAATCTCACTGTTCAAATAACTTTTAGATTATACTAATTTTCTATAAGTTACACTATTTATAAATATTTGAAATTGTTACGTTGCTATTTAATGATAAATTTACTTAAAATAAATCGAGCCCTTATTCTTTCTTGGATTCTCATTTATAGGGTAGAAATTAGAGGAAAATTAAATAAGGAAAATGGTACAGGAAATAGAAACTCATTTTATCAGGTGTACTCTAAAGAGTTAATCACTGCCATAATCGTCATTTATGAAATGTTGAGCACCTGAATCATTTTATTAACAACAGACTTCTATTTCCTGTCTCAGCAGCTAGAAAATCATACTGGCAAAATTAACAGCCATTTTAGACTGGGGTCCTTCATAGCTCACTATTTTGTTCTATTCACTCAGTTTCTCTGTTTTAATTGTCAGGGTCAACAACATCATTATTCTCCTAAGTTGATAGCCAGAACCATGGTCAATGGGAAAAAACTGCATCTAATTTAATATACATGATGAGCATGAACATACACATTCACCACGTTACAATCAGGGAGTAAAGATAATGGACATATCCATAACCTCCCAAAGCTCCTAGCGGGACTGGAGAAACAACTCAGTCGACTGCACCTCCTGCTTTGCATGCAAGAGGCTCAATTGTGATTCCCTGGCACCACTGCCCCTGCACCCCATAGGTTCCACCGAGCCCATCAGGAATGGTCCTTGAGCACAGATCCTGGAGAAAATACCTGAAGACTACTGGATGTGGCCCAACAACAACAAAATGTTTAAGTGCAGAATATTATGTTAGCTATATGCACTGTTTTGAAGTTGGTTAAATTATTCATTATGTAAGTCAGGATCTTTTTTCTGTTGAAAAAAAAACAATTTGTTTTCTCTCCCAAATCCTTGTTGGCCAACTGTTCTATGAGTGACTTTTGTAGATTCCAAATATGAGTGAGGTCATGCAGTAATTTTCTTCCTGTATCTAGGCTATTTTAATTCACATCATTCAGGTCTGTTTCCATTGTCAAAAATGGTAGGATTCACCCCTTTCTTATTGTAGTGTAGGCAATATGTCTACAGTACTGTTAAGTACGAAGTTACTGTACCTCATCACCAAAGTGCCCAGGACTCTCCACCCTTCTATAGCATCTTGTCTGATCTTCATTCCCCAACTGGTTTTGCATCACTTTTATAGTCCAACGCCAATGATCTGTCATATTTGATACTGTCTGTTCCCTTGTTTTGGTTCTCTGTTGTCCACAGGTGAGTGAGATCATCCAGGGTTAGTTTTTCGCCTTTTGACTTATTTTGCTTAACAATATGTCCTCTAATTCCATTTAAATTGTAAAAAACTGCAAGATTTCATCTTTTCTTGCTGCTTAGTATTCCATTGTGCACATATTCCACAACTTAAATATTATTTTTTTAATCACTGAGATACAGTATAAGAATAAGAAGGAAATTGTCTGCCATAGAGGCAGGGGGAGGAGTGGGACGGGGTGGGAGGGATGCTGGGGATAACCATGGTGGAAAATGTATAGTTGCAGGGCTGGGTGTTCAATCATTGTACACTGAAACTCAAATATTAAACTTTTGTAACTAGATCATGATGATTCAATAAAAATTAAAAAAAGATTACTCTGAAAAGTGCAAACATCCACTTTGTTTCATATACAAAATGTAGTAATATTACATAAATTTTAAAAAAGCAGTTTCAGTACTGTTACTGAAACTTGCCAAATAAATGTTTCCTGGGATCAGAGATAGTACAAGGGCTATGGTATTTGGCTTGCATAAGGTCAAACCCCAGGCATCGAGGGATGTGGTTCAAATCTCTGCCTGCCACTTCCCTTGCCTCGTGATAAAATAATTTACTTTAGAAAAATTAGGCTATGAAAGCACATTTTGATTCCAAGTTATACTGAAAAGGAAAAATGCCTTCATACTGAGTTAGTTAATAAAGGAATATTAAGACGAATGCAAATTTGTTGCCACAATGCAAAATTGTTTTAAAAGGTCACTTTCTAGAACCTCTTTTTAGTATATAATCAAAGGCATGTATTTTGTACTATCCCAAGAATTACTCCCAATGAACTGCTACCTATCTGATCTCAGGATACATACCTAGATTTCCTCATCTCTTTCAGCTCCCAATGTTTAGGATTTTGTTTCAGGATAAATGAAATAATATCTAGTCTAATTAAAGTAGGCAAATAATCGGAATTTCAATTGCTCAGTCAACTGCAAAGTCTTTTAAAATTAAATGGATTGAGATGTAACAGTTCAACATCATCAGTCAATAAAGGATCTAAAAAATCCTCGCACTACAGCCAATCTAATACAGAATGCTTATCTAGGGATATGTAAACATTCTATTTTTGTCCTTCACTGCCATATTACTTAAAACACAGTAGTGTTTTTGGCATATCAGATATGAAAATAGGAACTACTTTAAAGAATCAGTTCTGGGATGGGTAATTTCTCTTCAAGACGATGCTGATACTTTTGATAGCAATTTTTTTAAAAGTATTTGGATCTTGTACTCCTCAAAATTCTCCTCTAGCCCCAATAAATACCATAGCTCTCTCCAACTGACAGAAAACTGGTCACAACATCCGCTTGACCAATAGTGCTGTTCTATAGGGAAAGGTTGATTCAGGGTGATTCAAGAAAGCTTTTTGGGGTTTGAATTTCCACTGGCCCATGTTCATGTACTCAAGAAATGGGAAAGCCAGAATTAAAACTATAAACTCTAGTCCTATAGTACTTCCACCTCCCCACATTTCCAATTAATAGAATCCATTCATGTATGTACTAGCAGTTTACAATTTTCCCCAGAGGAATCAAATATAAAATATTCATTCAACAATGTTTCCAGGACTTTGGATTTATTCACCTGCAAGTTGCATGTTTATCAACCCATTATTAGAACTTTATGAGCATAAAATGTATTACATAGAAAAAAGCTAAAGTCTAATATTAATATATTTTAAGTGATAATGCCTATGCACTATTATCTGAGGATTTAGAATACTACTGCTCTATGTCCCATGTATAATACCCAACTTTCTAGAATTAAAAAGTGTCTAGTGATTAGCTCATAAACAGAAATGAGTTTTTTTTAGGTATTTATGTACAGCCACGCACTTATGTATCTAGTTTGCTGTTTTACAAATCACATGATTATAAGCAGATTCAGATGAGCAGATTATTGACGAAGAACCCAGGGAGAATCATCTCTGGTCTTGTTTCACCTTTGTAATCAGAAGCAGAAGGACCAAAAGGGTGCTGTTTTTGTTTTCTTGCTACCCATCCTTACTTCAGTGAAAACTGGTCACTGCATTCCAACAGAAGACACTTCTCATGAATTTTAGCAAAACTAAACCTACACAATCATCTTCACACAAATATTGATACAGAAACACTTTTTTGTTGTTGTTTTGGAGTTATGCCAGCAGCACTCAGGGCTTACTTCTGGCTCTGCAGACCATGAGATGCCATGGACTGAACCAGGGTCCGTTGCCTGCAAGGCATGACCCTGACCTGCTATACTACTGCTCTGGTCAGTCTACAGGGTTTTTTTGGTTTTTGTTTCTGTAAGAGGGATGGACATTGAGCCATAACCTGATGTGACAAGAACTTACTCCTGGCAGTGCTTGGGGGACCATATGTGGTATTAGGACTGAACCTGGATCCACTGCAAGCAAGGCATGAACCTTGGTTTGCTGTACCCTCTCTCTGGCCCCCTTTCCACCTTCTGCTCTTTGTAGCTCTAGGGGAAAAGCATATCCATGCAGATGAAGAAATAGAAACAGCAATTATTTCTCTCCAATACCTCATCACTCATTGCCTCTTAAAAAAGTATTCTAAGAACTTACTTTAAGTGACAAAATCTGCACTTTCACTAAGCAAGAAATCAGCTAGAATTAGGGCTACTCCTTCAGTTAAAAATAATGAGAATGTAAAAACAGAGAATACCAAATATCATAACCTACTTTAGTTGATGTAATACATATATTCTACTCATGACTCTTCTAGAATACATTTCATTCAACAATATCCTACAAATTTGCATGGCCATAGAAAATGATCGCTAGAGCTCATGTGTAAAATAAAAGGAATGTAAGCAAAATAATAGAAGGGTAGTAAAGGTGCATGCCGTATAGAGTCAGATCTGGTTCCATCCTAGCATCAAATAATCTCCTGAATAGGACCTAGTAGTTCTGAAGAACCCTGCATACCACTGGGGTAGCCTGGGCAAATCCTGGTGCTGCAGGGCCCGAGAAGCACTAATCTTTTGGTCCTTGCATTGATTCAAGAGCTCCCCCCCCCAACACTGCTTGGGAGACCTAAACCCCCCCCAAAAAAAAGAGAAGGGGGAAAGAGAGAGTCAGAGAGACTGACAGATACTGTTTCTATCAATGCTATAAATTTCAAGGACTTAGAAATGAATGGCTCCTATGAGCTCAGTAGAATTGGTGTCCCTGACACAAAAGTAAATGAAAAATCAATTACAGATCTCACAAATTCAGTGCATACCAGGTCTGTGACTTTTAATTTAAATTAATAAAGACACTGCAGCATTCTAGTCTTCATCTTAGCTGAACATTTAACAGTGACTTTATTAGGTGAAAGCTTCAGAAGTATTTAACATTAAATTTACTTCACATTAATGTTTACAAATACATTATCAGCAATTCTTAGTATTTCAAATCAACTAAAACTTGAAATAGAGAAGGCTTGTTTTTCAACTCTTCGGAGGTACATGAATCCAAGTCTCTATAGCTTGAATCCAAGTCTCTAACCGACAACCACTATATCATCACTGGTGAACTCGTATGAAGGAACTTCAAGGTTGAGAGGTGCAGGTCCCTTCCTGATCCTGCCAGATGCATCATAGTGTGACCCATGGCAAGGGCAGTAATAACCACCAAAATCGCCTGCATTTGCAATGGGTACACAACCAAGATGAGTGCAAACACCTATCAAAATAACCCACTCGGGTTTCTTTACTCGATCTAAGTCATGCTGTGGGTCCCTCAGCTGGGACACTTCAACCGCAGCTTCCTGGTCAATTTCCTTCTGGGTTCTATGTCGCACGAACAGGGGCTTGCCTCTCCACTTGAAAGCCATATTCTTGCCTTCTGGAATATCAGATAACTTGATTTCGATTTTTGACATGGCCAGCACATCAGCAGAAGCACTCATGCTGGAAACAAACTGGGAGACGACATTCTTGGCTGCATATGCAACACCCACAGTAGTTGTTGCAGTAACCAAATAGGAAAAACCTTTTCTGGCTTCGCTGCTGTCTTTTGAAGACTTTGTACTATCTAACACTTCGGAGCGGCGATAGTCAGAGAAGTCAGGTACTTTGATGTCTGTATGAGAAAAACGAACAGAGGCAGGAACTACAAGATAAACAGAAGGTTAAAAAATACAATTAGATGAGTACTCTTAGAAGGGTTGGATCAAAAACAGAACTATACTGATTCACAAAAAAAATCAAATTATAAAAATGTGAAATATGGCACTGCAGTTTCTGAGAAAGTAATCAAGCTGGCAGCGGAAAGATATAAAAATCTATCATGCTGATATAAAACCACAAAACATACAAATTGAGCTTTTTATTACACCAATTTAGAATTTAAAACTTTGTGCATAAAATTTAAGTTAAAAAACAGCAAGCAGAAATATTTAAAACACAGAATTCTGAAATTCAATCTATGCAATTTTAACAAATCCTACCATGTTTTCTTGACTGAATGGCCCTAAAACTAATGCCAAGTAAGATTAGATTATACTGCTAATTAGCATTAGCTGCAAAAATTTTGTATGGTTTCTATTTTAGACTCTAGGGCATAAATTACTACTATTTTATTTCAAATAAAAACCTACTGGGCAGAGAAAGACATTATCCGAATACGAGACCCAAAATCAAGTTAAATCTCCAAAAGAACCATCTGTTTCAATTTATTAAAGAAAAGGCAAAAATATTCAGATATGTTCTCTTTTAGTGAAGGGCAACAGGTCCTGATAGGGGCACTATCTTTCATTTTCACTGCTGTGGGTCACTGGGACACTGGTAAAACATTTGCATCATATATTATTACAAACAGTAAATAGACAATTTGTAAATTTGTCACATTTGAAACATTAGAAAGTCTTAGTAATAATTATAAAGTGAATGTTATTACTTGAAAACCTAAACCGTCTTATAATATACTTAAGTTCACAACTGAACACTTCAAAAAAAAAAATAAATAACTACCCACCACTATTCACATGGTTCTAAAGATAATTTTTATGAAAGCCATTCATAAAATGTGGTGAAACCTACCAAAATCACTCCATTACTTTTCTATTACATTTCTGGCTAACCCAACAGTTTCTGGAGGGGACCAGCCACGGGAAATAACTACTTAAGTAGAGAACAAAGGCAAAGTGGCATTATATATGTATGTAATGCTAGTATGTCTATGTGGAGTAGACTAGGATTTGGAATCAAATATGAATTATTTCCTCTTAGCATTATTTGGTATTAACAAACGAAAAAGATGATGAAAACAAAATCCATGCTGCTGCTTCTTAAAAAAAAAATCTACCACCCATAACCATGTAACAGTAAAACGATGTATAGGACACTTTAATCTGGAGGGTATATGAAAAAAGAGGTCCAATTTCTACTGCCAATTGTACTTTTCAGATTATATTGAAATATTTTACCAAACACCCTTTGGGAAATTAAACTATCATGCTGCAAAAATCATCCTCTGTATAATTAACATAAACTGTATGTTTAAGCTACACTAAAACGAAGTATTTATAAAAAGTTCTGTCTACGATTTTACCAATCTTGGAAGTCAGGCTATGCCTCCAATTTCCAGCTGAAATATTTTGCTACTTGACAAATTCCAAAATTACTTTTCACTTTTGCCATTAAAACTTCCCCCTTAATTTGAAGAGGCTTACACTGCTAGGCAGTCTTTTTCCCAACAGTCTCTCCAAAGCACTAGAGGTATCCACTAACAACAATCAAATAGTACCTATTCATAAATGTTTTTTACGGTAAGCAAAATCCAAAGCCGTGGGGATAGAAAAATAAAGCACATATTCTTCACGTCCTCAAATTCGAGTTCAGAGATATCACTAAGGGTGCAATGCAGAGTTAAAAGACAAAACAAAACACGGTTAGGTGCTATAAAAACAAAGAGATCAGCAAGTATTAAAGTGTACAGATGCCATCCTAACTGAGAATAAAAGATGGACAAAATCTGGCTATGCAAAAAACTAAATGGAAGGAAGAGATGAATGTTCAGATCTCTTGAGACTTGTGTACAGCAGGCTCAACCCAACTGATAATGGGGCAACCTGGCCAGTTGAGCACTGTGATAATCTGGAAGAGCACTTGCTCCAAACCAAGCGGAGAGTCACAACACTACACTTTCCCCATGCACTGATGAAGAGCCCATATTGCTGGCTTCCAACATTTTAAAAGACACCAGTAATCTTCCCTGTTCGGTAGAGAGAAAACAGCTACTGTCCACAGTTGGCAATTTATAGGAGACAGAGCAGAAAAAAAATAAACCGGGCTCTCTAATAATGGTATGGTAACATGCTCCTGACAAAAAGTTCAAGGCCAAACTACTCTTTCAAATCCACATGATGACACGAATACCGTCCATCCTTGTGTTACGTGTGGCTGCTTTCTTGTACTATCCGTGAAACAGGCTGATCAACAACCCGTTTACTGCCCCTCTTTCAAAATTAATTTATGGTGTGGAAAACTCTGTACCCAAAGCTGGAAAACACTGTTGACACACCTTAGGGTACATTACTGCCTTTTCTGTTTTTCTTTTCTTTTTTAAGAGGGAGCTGGTGGTGAAAGGGGAGGGCAACGGAGGTCACTGATGAGCGGGAAGATCTCCTTTTAATTTTTTTTTTTAATTTTTAACGCACTTATCAAGTCCTGCAAACTTGCTAATAGCTTGACCTATTACTTCTCTCCCTGAGCCGCATCACGAAGTCCTTGTCACGGGTAAGAATCAGAAATTGGTTTCACAAAGTCAAAAACGCCGATCAGCAATAAACATCCCACCAGACTGGGGCGTTTAAGCGGCGGGACCGGAGAATTCTTGAACTTCACCGGGGAGGTGCAAACGCCAGTGGGTTCAGTGTCCAGCTGGTCCCCCACCGAGACTCCCAGGGAGTCCAGGAATCGGGAAACCCAGCTGCGCTCCCGCGCCAGGGTAAGGTCAGAGGCCCAAGGTCGGCACAGCACGGCGGCCCGATCCACTACCCCGCTGACCCCCTCGCTCTTCTCGGCGGCCCCGCAGGTCCACGGGTGCACGCGCCCCCCGCCCCCTCCAGCCAAGTCCCCGACGCGCCCCTCCGCCCCCGCTCACCATTGAGGCCCACGGCGGCAGTCAAAGGCCGGCCCGCAGCCTGGCCGCTCAGCGACTCCCGGCACAGAAACGGCCGCTTCCCGTCCACCACCGGCGACTCCGAGGCAGCGGGCACCGAGGCCTGCACGAGAGGCCTCAGAGCACCCGCCACCCCGCGAGAGGTGGCCGACAGGACGGGCGCGAAAGGGCCCGAGCGAGCGGCGACCGACAACATGGCGACGTCTGCTCCCGCCGGGCAAGATGGTCACAGGGACGACCTTCGGCCTGCCGCGCAGGCGCGAGGAGGCGCCGGAAGGGCGGGCTTGTGACGTCACACGCCGGCCGCCGCGGGCCCCGCCTCTCTCGCGAGGCCCTGTGCGGCGATTCCCGAGAGGCGCTGCGTCACAGGCGGGACTAGGCGCGCACACTGAAGGGAGTGGCGGGGGTGGGGCGTGGGAGGGAGGTGGAGCCAGGAGCTCAATCTAGGGGCGGAGCCGAGTGGGGAGGAGCCGGAAGTCGCCGCCTTTCTGCCTCTGGGTCCAGAGAATGTTGAGTGGAAGATGCTAGTTCTGGAGCTTCCGCGATTAGTTACTGTGCTCTTTTGGAACAAACCCTTCATCTCTGGGACCTGCGGATAAAACCAAGTTACTGTGATTGGTTCAAGAATAAACATCACAATAATCATAAGCTCTCCTTTATACTCATAATTTATACACATAAATGGTAGGACAGCACCCAGTATTTGCTATAATGATAATATATGTATTTGCTATAATGATGATAAACTTAACCTATAAGAGTTAAGAGAACTGTGTAGAAAAGTTTAATAATGATGATGATGATGATGAAAAGTTTAATAATGAGACTTACTTGTATCAACCATTTACTATGTATTTTTACTTTGGGTTTTGCTTTTCATTTAAAATCAAATGAAAGAGTCTATGAAGTAACAGCGCCCCGTGTGCCATTGAGGAAATGGAGGTTATAGAGGGATTTTGTGTCCAGGACTGGACTGTCTGGCGATCTGGCTCCTGGTGGTCTTGTCTCTTTAGTCACTGTTAAGCCTTGGCATGGTTTTAGGGGCTGTTGGGGCGAGTCCTTAAATCACTTTATCATACGAAGGTAACGTTATTCCCCTTTTAGTTTTAGTTCTCTTTCAATCAATATGAAAATTCCTGCCCGCATGGCAGAGCCTGGCAAGCTACCTGTGATGTATTCGATATGCCAAACACAGTAACACCAAAGTCTCCAATGGAGATGTTACTGGGCCCGCTCGAGCAAATCGATGAACAACGGGAGGACAGTGACAGTGACAGTGACAGTGTTAATATGGTTTAAATTTTTTTCTCTAGCACTTGCTGATCTCCTTTACAAAATAGGTCTCGAATTCAATGCCCTTGAAAAGTATATAATTCTAGAGATTTAAAAGTAATGATATTTATATGTAATCCACATGTTATTAGAATAACTATAGTGAGATATCCCAGAAGAGATATCATTTTTAGGTACAAAATGAATTACTTTATCAGGTAAAGTTTAATATAAACTTTGTATAAATTTGACAATTGACATATGGAACAATAAGTCCCCACGAATAGCTAAAACAATTCTTGGGAAAAAGAAAATGGGAGGAATCAATCTCCTTAACTTCAAACTCAACTACAAAGCAGTAATAATTAACACAGCATGGTACTGGAACAAAGGCAGAGCTGCAGACCAGTGGAACAGGATTGAATATACAGACATCTCCCCCCAAACATATGGTCATCTAATCTTTGATAAGGGGGCAAGAAATGTAAAGTGGAACAAGGAAAGCCTCTTTAACAAATTATGCTGGCAAAACTGGATGGCTACATGCAAAAAAGTGGGCTCAGATCTCTGCCTAACACCATGTACAAAAGTAAGATCAAAATGGATTAAAGACTGGAATCCATAAGGTACATTGAAGAAAAAGTTGGCAAAACCCTCCATGACATTGAAGCTAATGGTATCTTCAAAGATGTCATGCCACTGGCCAAGCAAGTGAAAACAGAGATAGACAAATGGGACTATCTTAAACTAAGAAGCTTCTGCGCCTCAAAAGAAACAGTGACCAAATACAAAGATAGTCTACAGAATGGGAAAGGATATTCGCCGAATATACATCTGACAAGGGCTTGATATCAAGGATATACAAAGTACTGGTTGAACTCCACAAGAAGAAAACATCCAACCCCATCAAAAATGGGGCAATGAAATGAACAGGAACTTTCTCAAAGAAGAAATCCGAATGCAAAAAGGCACATGAAAAAATGCTCTACATCATTAATCATCAAGGAGATGCAGATCAAAACAACAATGAGATATCATTTCACACCACAGAGACAAGCTCACATCCAAAAGAACAAAAGCAACCGATGCTGGCATGGATGTGGCGAGAAAGGGACACTCCTTCACTGCTGGAGGCAATGCCAACTGGTTCAGTCCTTTTGGAAAACAGTATGGACGATTCTCAAAAAATTAGAAATTGAGCTCCCATTTGACTCAGCAATACCACTCCTGGGAATATATCCCAGAGGCAAAAAAGTGTAGTCGAAGTGACTTCTGCACTTGTGTGTTCATTGCAGCACTCTTTACAATAGCCACAATCTGGAAAAAACCTGAGTGCCTGAGAACAGATGATTGGTTAAAGAAACTTTGGTACATCTACACAATGGAGTACTACATAGTTTTTGGAAAGGATGAAGTCACGAAATTTACATACAAGGGATACTACATGGAAAGTATCATGCTAAGTGAAATGAGTCAGAAAGAGAGAGACAGACATAGAAAGATTGCATTCATCTGGGAAACAGATAAAGTAACAAAATAGGAAACTAACATCCAAGAATAGCTGAGATAAGTACCAGGAGGTTTACTCCATGACTTGGAGGCCAGCCGCACACTCTAAGGATGAGGGAAGCTCAGATAGAGATGGGAGCACCCAATAAAGGATGTTGGGAAGATTCACTCAGGATGGGAGATACATGCTGAAAGTAGACTATAGACCGAACATGATTGCCACTCAATTCCTCTTTTGCAAACCACAGCACCCAAAAGGAGAAAGAGAACAAAAGGGAATGCCCTGCCACAGAGGCAGGGTGGGATGGGGGAATAGGGGGTGGGAGGGACACTGGGATTAGTGATGGTGGAGAATGGTCACTGGTGGAGGGATGTGTACTCAATCATTGTATAACTGAAATGCAAACACAAAAATTTCTAAGTCTACAACTGTACCTCATAGTGTTTTACTAATAAAAATTAAAAAATAATGAAATAAAAAAATTGACAGAATTGAGATGGTTGTGGGTATATGGACTCATGAAGTTTCTGTTCTCTGTGCTATCTATAGGTTCAGTATCTGAGCAAGTTCCTAGTTATTCCATGCCTTGATTTTCTCACCTCTAAAGTGGCGTTAGTAATAATGCCATCTTGGGAGGAGTAAATATGCTGATACACACACATTGCTCTATGTGTGTTAAAGAGGGCCTAGCCTCTAGGTGAGTATTTGTTGTTACTGACATGAAACCTACCCTCTGAGAAGTCTTCCTTTGTGATGCTTGTTGACTTTTGCTTTCCTTCTTATTCTAGATCCATTACACTCTAATGACTTCTTCCTAAATCTTCTCATCCTCAGAGTTAAGTCTTTTCTGTTATTATTGCCCCAGGTTCTGTTTGTTCGGCTCAAGGCTTGGACTGGTCTCCTCAAAGGACACCCAGACTAACATAGACACAGAACTGGCATTCAGCGTGTCTCCCCAGCAAGAACCTGAATTATATAAGCATACACTTGAGGACACACACTCTGCACAATTTGAGTGTTTGATATTAAAATCTCAATATTACAATAACTCTCAAGATGGGTAACAGTGGATGAAAAATGAATGAATAAGTAAGTGAAGTGACCTTCACAAGTACCTCACCAACTCCTCATGTGGTGAGCGGAATAGTAATTGTTATTTCCAGGTTCTCTAGCTTCAGTCATAGTTCTGCCACTCATTAGTTATGTCCAGATATGTTCAAAGACTTGTGCTTTCAGTTTTTCTCTGTAAAATTGGATCGTAATTATATCTTATCCAAATGATTCTTTTTTTTTCTTTTGCCACACCTGGCAGTGCTCAGAGTTACTTCTGAACTTGTGCCCAGTGTTACTCCTGGCAATGTTCAGGGGATTGAATCTGGGACTCCTGGATGCAAATCCAGTGCACTAGACCATTGAACTCTGACCCACAAATGATTCTTTTAAGGGTAAAATAGATCAATACATGTTAAGTTAATAGAACTATGCCTGGCATAAAGTAAGTCTATGTAAATATCCATAAGAATAATAAATTTAACTCCACTTCTTCAGTGTTTCTGTAAGTGGGTGATAATATTCCAGGGAGGCACTGTAATGATCCATGGAGGAAGCAGTAGCCTTAGATGCAGTTGACGGCACTTTCTGATATTCAATTAAAGAAGATAGATTTCCAAGGGGGCAGTTAGTAGTTTTTTATTTTTAAGGGAGCAATCACTGTATAACTATCATCCCGTTATTCTTTGATTTACTCGAGCGGGCGCCAGTAACATCTCTATTTGTCCCAGCGCTTAGATTTTAGCAGCCTCTCCTTACTCATCTTTAAGAATGATTGGTGGCTTTTTCAGGGTCAGGGAAATGAGACCTATTATAGTTACTGGTTTTGGCATATTGAATATGTCACAGGGAGCTTGCCAGGCTCTGCCTATGAGGACAAGATGCTATCAGTAGCTTGCCAGACTCCGAGGGGCATATATATATATATTTTTTTTTTCTCTATGATTTGTTGCCTACTGTCTGAATTCTATCAAACATGGTATGGTAATTGTGAAAAATGGGTAGGAAGTGTTTTATGATGTGTTGGTCTGGAAAGTGGCCTGGACCATGACAGTGGTTGGTTAGTGGAGGTTGACTGCCGGGGCTGGGTCGCAATAGGGAGCAATAGGCCAGATAAATTTAGAAACCACAAAAATACTTGAGTTCAAGAAAGACAAACTACCTGCCAAAGACCTGTCTTTTTTAAAAGTTGTATTGAACTGTAACTGATATATAATGTGTAAAGGTTTACAGCATGTAGATTTGATACAGGTATATCTTGCAACATGATTACCACCATAGCAACATGATTACCATCATAAAATATTGTCAATTGTATTTTGTAGTAAGAACACTTTTATCTATTAAAGTTAAGTTATTAAGTTATTAATAACTTATTAACTTTAAAGTCTGCTATGTAGTAATTATCACTGTAATCACCATGCAATTT